AATATAATTTTATTATCTATATAGTACAAAGATTTGATTAATAGTCATGTAAGATTTTTAATATTCAGGTTAATATAATTATTTTTTAAAATTTATTTTAATATTATCATATTTGTGGGCACTTTTAAAGATATTTTGGAATATAGATATAGGTTGTCTTCCTTGGTTATTTTTGTGATATGGGAAGTAACTACCACAAATTAATATTCAAATATAGTAATGTAAAAACTTCAAACATTTTTCAACAATGTTATTATTAAACAATGACGTACTTCATGCTTACACTGATAAGTGAATATCAACATTTTAAAAGCAAATAAGACCATTCATTATGATGGAAATCAAATTTCATTTTTGGGTTCAAATATTCTTTCTTTTTTGATAAGGGTGTTTGTTTTTGTAGTTTTCAGAAAGAATTATGGAGCACTGGGCTGTACGAGAATTGGGAATTGGAAACAAAATGAATACAAATGTTTTCTCATAACACAAAATCTAAACACAAGTTGCAGGTTGAGAGTTCCAAATGAGACTTGGACAAATCAGTGCTGACAATAACCACTGAAAACCAGGGGGAAAAAAATACAAAATATAAAAAATATAAAAGCCATCATGGGATGAACATAGATGGAGAATTCAAACCAACCAAGAGCTTCATGAAATATACCAAGAGCTTTATGAAATATACCAAGAGCTTTTGAAATATACCAAGAGCCTACAGAGGTAGAAATGAAAACACAAGACTGTGATGGTTGTTATTTGGAGAGAATTTCTAACCACAGAGGGCAGTGGTGTGTGACCAAAACCTGAAAGGCTGACCTTGGTTTAGATGGCTGGACAATGTGGAGAGACATAAGCCAGATAAAGTTCCAGGACTGGAAGACTGAAGACTTGTCTGAATGAAAAAACTGGTGAAGCAAGACATAGCCCTCTATGGTGGGCAGGATTGGAAGAGGGAGACTGAAGACATGTCTGAATGAAAAAACTGGTGAAGTTAGACAGAGCCCTCCATGATGGGCAGGATTGGAAGAGGGAGACTGAAGACTTGTCTGAATGAAAAAACTGGTGAAGTTAGACAGAGCCCTCCATGATGGGCAGGATTGGAAGAGGGAGACTGAAGACATGTCTGAATGAAAAAACTGGTGAAGTTGGACAGAGCCCTCCATGATGGGCAGGATTGGAAGAGGGAGACTGAAGACATGTCTGAATGAAAAAACTGGTGAAGTTGGACAGAGCCCTCCATGATGGGCAGGATTGGAAGAGGGAGACTGAAGACATGTCTGAATGAAAAAACTGGTGAAGTTGGACAGAGCCCTCCATGATGGGCAGGATTGGAAGAGGGAGACTGAAGACATGTCTGAATGAAAAAACTGGTGAAGTTAGACAGAGCCCTCCATGATGGGCAGGATTGGAAGAGGGAGACTGAAGACATGTCTGAATGAAAAAACTGGTGAAGCAAGACAGAGCCCTCCATGATGGGCAGGATTGGAAGAGGGAGACTGAAGACATGTCTGAATGAAAAAAACTGGTGAAGTTAGACAGAGCCCTCCATGATGGGCAGGATTGGAAGAGGGAGACTGAAGACATGTCTGAATGAAAAAACTGGTGAAGTTAGACAGAGCCCTCCATGATGGGCAGGATTGGAAGAGGGAGACTGAAGACATGTCTGAATGAAAAAACTGGTGAAGTTAGACAGAGCCCTCCATGATGGGCAGGATTGGAAGAGGGAGACTGAAGACATGTCTGAATGAAAAAACTGGTGAAGCAAGACAGAGCCCTCCATGATGGGCAGGATTGGAAGAGGGAGACTGAAGACATGTCTGAATGAAAAAACTGGTGAAGTTGGACAGAGCCCTCCATGATGGGCAGGATTGGAAGAGGGAGACTGAAGACATGCCTGAATGAAAAAACTGGTGAAGTTGGACAGAGCCCTCCATGATGAACATTTTTAGCTGACTTTTAGATCAACTACAGGTGAAAATTTCCAGGGACCAAACAAACGACTCAGGAATAAAACTTTTACGATGGGACAGTCCATATATGACACACATTTTAAATCTGCACATCACCATGCAGGTGATACACCCAGTTTGGAAACCACTGTTGAACTGGCTGAAACAAGCTGACAACACCACAAACAACAACACCTTCCCTTGTTACAAGGGCAAGTAACTCTAAACAATTATCACAAAAATATTTATGCCATTTACATTTGTTGAGAATATAACATGAAATAAATAGGTGGGCTAAATTGTTTTCTAATTACTGGTTTTACTCTTAGTAAATAGCTATGAACATAATATTACTTTCTGGCCATGTGTAACCATGTAATGCATGTAAATACCATGTGCCCTCCCTTGAAAATATTCAATAACCAACTAGTTTTGGGAAAGATATAATTCAAACAAAAATGTCAGGGACTAAAACAATATGTTCATAAAGGGTATAAATTCATTGAAAGGCTTATTCAACGACATAAATTGGTTTTAATGGCAGAAATTAATATCTGACATTCTTCTAGCTTATAATGGCATGAATTACATTTGATGGCACAAAAATGCAAAAATAATTTGTAAAATCATTTCACCAATAAAATACCTTTGAACAAAACAATATTCACATTATGTAAACAATGCATCTAAAAATCTATGTTAATACACATCAGAAAAGACTAGATCACAAATTCATATACACATTGTTTTTCACAAGTTTTCCTTTAAATAAAATATAGTTTTAAATTTCTCAAACATCCCACTTGAAATTGAACCTAGATTTTTCAACAAAAACTGTCTTACCAACACTTGTTTTCTAACTCATGCATTTTAATTCTGAATTCTTTCCTAAGCTCTACGTTGACCATTATAAAAAAACCTAATTCAAAATTTACAAGATTTGAATTTGAATTATAGGAAACCAATTTTAAAAAAAAAATGTCATCTCATAATATGCAAAAATTAAAAACATAATAAGTACAAAGTAAATCTGATATGTTTATTTAAACAGTACAATAATCACAGTATGTATTGTTATAAAGCATAAAAGTAGTCCCCTGTATGTTTGTGTCAATGTATCTCAGATAGTTACTAGACTATAAAAGTTGTCCCTTCTAGGTTTGTGTTAATGTACCTCAGTTACTAGACAATAAAAGTAGTCCCTTCTAGGTTTGTGTCAATGTACCTCAGATAGTTACTAGACAATAAAAGTAGTCCCTTCTAGGTTTGTGTCAATGTACCTCAGATAGTTACTAGACAATAAAAGTAGTCCCTTCTAGGTTTGTGTCAATGTACCTCAGATAGTTACTAGACAATAAAAGTAGTCCCTCCTAGGTTTGTGTCAATGTACCTCAGATAGATACTAGAGAATAAAAGTAGTCCCTTCTAGGTTTGTGTCAATGTACCTCAGATAGTTACTAGACAATAAAAGTAGTCCCTCCTAGGTTTGTGTCAATGTACCTCAGATAGTTACTAGACAATAAAAGTAGTCCCTTCTAGGTTTGTGTCAATGTACCTCAGATAGTTACTAGACAATAAAAGTAGTCCCTTCTAGGTTTGTGTCAATGTACCTCAGATAGTTACTAGACAATAAAAGTAGTCCCTTCTAGGTTTGTGTCAATGTACCTCAGATAGCGCCTGGTTTAAATCACACAACAGTATTTGCATACCTAGATAAACAACATCTAGCAGACAAGACAGTACCAGTAGGTTTGTAGCTTCAACTTGTCATCCCAACCTGTAGGTTTGTTTCCGCAATCTTTAGGTTTGTGACCAAAAATGCTCAGGCTTGAAAACACAACCTGAATGTTCAAACCTATCTTTTTTTTTTAAAGTTTGTAATTACAATTTAAAAAATAAAAACAAAAGGTAATTACAGAACAAAAAATTAATTCACTCATATGACTTGAGACATAAGATATATAAAGGGGCATGTCTACCCTCTGAATAAATCTCTAATTGTAATCATGAAATCACATTTTTTTCAATACATTACAGTAAAACCATTTATTGTATGCCAATGCAAAGAATAATATGTCATGCTTATTAATGACAAGCCAAAAAAAAAAATCATCAACCTAAAACTATTTATGTACATATGATAACTATAAAATTCACAGTGAACCCCTATTACTTACACAGCTCACAGGAGTTATATATTCATTTACAATGATAAAATATAACAAGCTTGGAACACAAGGGAAATAACTAGTTTTATTATGAAAGATTCATAAGTGAAATTTTTTTAAAGTGTGCATACTGGATAAAGGGAAAGAACTGGATTGTGCGTGGGTCAATGTATATCAGTAGCATTGAGTAACAATTCGTTTGGTGAGTAAAGATTATCAGGAGTGTTGAGTAACAATATTTTTGGTCCGAGGTTTAGAGCCATACTGTGCTCTATTCTCTATGTCCAACTTTAAACTGGAAAATGTGTTAATATATTGCCCTACATCAGGGGTCTCCAAACTTTTCAGTCCGAGGGCCGCATTAACTATCAAATTTCAGTTCTGGGGCCAGTTAGTTCCAGTCATGTCTGATTTTTCTGGCCAAAGTTCCTCAGCCATCACCAACAAACGTTTTTTTCCGTGGACAAAGGGATCTCCGCGGGCCGGATGAGAGGACCTCGCGGGCCGCATACGGCCCGCGGGCCGTAGTTTGGAGACCCCTGCCCTACATAATGCACAGGAGTAAAAAAAAAATTTATGTTTTAACTAAAATTAGAACCAGATGAGATAAAATTAGGTACAGGCTAATTGAAGAGCCCAGTGCTAAAAGTACTTAAGTCACATTTTTGTGAAAATCAAACCAAGCATTGATCGTTATTCCTCTAGTTAAACTTTATTTTATAAACAAATAGTGATACTGAAGAATTTATTTAATTTGCTCTTCCAAACAAACAAATAATATAAAAACGTAATGTTTCATAGTAAATTTTAATCTTTGAACTCATTTTTCTCAAAATGTTGTTTTTGTGACTTAAGTACTTTTAGCACTAAGGTCTTCAATTGAAAGAGAAAATATCACACTGGCTGACTTTCAGAGTCATAACACAAAGATTTCTAACAAAGGGGGGTAACCACCTCACGATTGAGACTCGTTTGTTCTATCTGCCAAGCCCACCAGGTAACCTTTGACCTCGCTGATGTAGTCCCCTGAGTCTGTCTTGTCTGTCAGGACCCAGGTATCATCTGACCCTGACACCAGCGTCCGACACAGTGGACAATTACTGTGTCTCTCATCCCTGCAGCAGGAAAAAAAAAAAAAAAATTATTTGAGCTCAAATTAAAACTGTTGCCATCTTAGAGTGCTGTACCCAGGAATAAATGAATCTAAACAAAGAATATGAATAATTTAGACCATAATATATTTTACTAATTCAAGCATGATTTAAAATGGTATTTGATGAATATTAAAGTAGCTATTGAATTTTTTGCCCAAAAGTGTTAGGTTAATGTGGTAGGGTTAAGTTACTTATTAGTAATTGATGAGAGTGATGACAGCCAATATAACAAAATGTAATATAAAGATAGCATTTTTTATCCAGTTTTGACTTTATTAATAAAATATGAACAAAACTCAAAATTTTAAAAAGTAATACATATTTTTAAAAAATCAACATACCTGTAATAAAAGAAAAATACATACCTGGTCCAGCTGTCTATACAAATCTCACAAAACTCATGACAGCAGGACAGCATCACGCAAGCTTTCCTGTCCATACACACACAGCATTCGTTGCCTGGATCTTCATCTGATAAACATTTTTTGTCATGTTCTTCGCTAAAAATAAAGAAATAAATTTTATGAATCTACAACTGGTAAACATTTTTGTCAAATTTCAAGTAAGGACAAGAATTAAGAGACAGCGTGGTGAGGTCGGTTGCTAAACGGAAAAATGCCAAGTTCGAAACCCCGGGCAGGTTAGGCTAGACAACTGGGGACAGCAATCCAGCTAGGAGAGAAAACTCCAAAATCAAACAACTGTTGCCTTGTAGTTTGTTCTTGATTAGATAAAAGCTATAGAAGTATATCTAGAAAGAAAAGCAGGCTCAAATCAAACTATATGGCATATAAGTTAACGCAACACTTAATTGTGTTGGAGAAAATCCCTTCCAACACTACAACTACAATTAAGAACGAAGAAGAACACAAATAAAACCATTGTGGGACAACATGGTTGGGTGGTATAGAGCTCAACTGCTAACCCAAAAGTCTCCAGTTTGATTTTAAATATGTTTAAGTCACTGAGTCCACCCAGCTCTGATTGGTACTTGACTCAGGAAATGTAAAAGTGGTTGGGCATAACGCTGACCCAACCATCCAAGATCAAGAAACATATGAACTCTACTCTGTCTGCCCTATGGATTGGTAGGTTTGAAGGGGAACTTTTTATCATATAACTGATATTTATATGTTTTGTTAGACTCACTGAAAAAAGACACAAAAAATGGATCGGAATATGAAAAACGTTTTTGTCAGACAGAATAAATTAATTTCAAAACCAGAATTATTTAGTTCAAAATTTGTTTGAATCACGCTAAAGCAGAATTATTTAGTTCAAAATTTGTTTGAATCACGCTAAAAAAATGAAGCAGTTTCACATTTTTCTTCAAATTACGTAGTTATTTCCTACATGTAAAATTATTATCTACTACAATTTAATCATCATGTCCCACATGTTTGATTATGTCCTATACATTTAATCTTTATGTCCATTCATTTCATTATCTCCTACAATTTGCCCACGACATTTAATCATTATGTCCTACAATTTGCACCCGGACATTTTATCATTATGTCCTACAATATGTCCCACACAGTTATCATGTCCTACTAACCTGGGGAAAAATGCTGATGCTGTAAATTCATCTTTCTGCGAGGTTGAGGGCTCTGTGTCCACAGAACTGTCCTCCAGCTTTGGCTGCATCAAGGCACTCACCTGCTCTATAATTTCTTTGTAGATCATGACAAACTGGCGCAAGGTGAGAATTCTGGATGACTCTATGACATTGGTAGATGTGTTGATCTGTCAATAATCATTAGAAATTATTAGAATGTGTATAGTTATCAAAATTTTCAATTGATCTGTCAGGTCTCAGAAATAATTTTTAGAATGTGTATAGATAAAAAAAATTTCAGTTGATCTGTCAGGTGATAGAAACAACTGTTAGAATGTGTATAGATCATTCTTTTATACACTGATCTGTCGGGTCACAGAAATAATTATTAAAATGTATATAGATCATTCTTTTTTCAATTGATCTGTCAGGTCACAGAAATAATTATTAAAATGTATATAGATCATTCTTTTTTCAAATAATCTGTCAGGTCTCAGAAATAATTATTATAATGTACATATATCATACTTTTTTCAATTGATCTGTCAGGTGGCAGAAATAACTATCCCAATGTCTATAGATTATTCTTTTTTTTTTAAAATTATTTTAAAAAGACATTTTAAACTAACTTTATTCCCTCTGAGAATGTTTCTTCCTTTAGAAATATAAAAATTTTCTTCATGACATTTTACAATTTTGTTTTCTAAAGAGGCATTGAGCTAAAATTATTAAGTTTGTATTGTTTGTTTACATGTGGCTTCAATGAGGGATAATTTATGTAAAAAATAGAACATTTTTCAAATACATATTGAGAACGTATGAGAGTACAAAAATGTTTATGTAACAATAAGCTATTTTATTTTTAAATATTAAATGCAAGCATATCTATATACTCTTAATCACTAGAAAAAAGGGCAGTTGTTTATAATTTATATACAAAATGAACAATAAAAACATAAGTCTAAAGTTTGAATGTGAATTCTGATTTTATTTTTAGACTGTCCCTTACTCTAAAGAGTAGTTGATGATTTTTAGAAGAGAAAAGTTAAGTGCGTGAATTTTACAACATGATGTCTTAATTTGAACAAACAGGTAACACAAACCACAATTGTATCCCCTGCACGTTCTTCACTCATATTATCTTACCTTTAAACATCGAATCCTGATAGTCCCCTTCCATAGAAATGTTGCATCTGAATCCTTGATGATCAGAAAACGTAGCTGCTTGCCTGCTCTGTCTGTAAAACTTCGAGTCCTTTAAACAGATTTAATAATTATTATTTACAATTTAACATTGGTGTACATTTGAAAATGATCTGTGAAATAACAATCTTGATTTATGACAAAAAATCCAAAACATAAAATTAATAATACAATATTTTCTAAAAATAGCCTACGAGCTCACTTCAGTTGGTATTTATTTTTAGAAATAGTTTTTTTAACTTATCCAATGGGTGAAATCACCCAGCATTATGTGATCATTGAAGCTCTGCCTCAACTAAACTATTCAGCTAGACAATGGTGAACCCTTTTTTTTTAGTATTTTATCCGATGGGCACTATGACCTAGTGTTTGTTGTTATTATATTATATATTATTATATTATATTTCTTATTTAATGCTTGTTCCTCTTTACTTTAGGGTATTATAGTAAGATTATAAACAACAATAAACATCTATAGCTCAGTGTTTATATTGATAAATGTCAAAAGTCAACATGGTGGTCGAGGGAACAGATGATGTAGTATAGTTGTTTCTGTGACATCATCACGTGAGGGGATTGTGTGGTGGGCTCTATGTCCAGCCACCTTAGCTTTCCCTAACAAGTGTCAGGTCCCCATAAATAAGAGCTGGATGGACGCAGGGACTTCAGCCATGTATCCAAACTCTACACTTTTGGATTAGTAGTTGAGCACTCTACTGTCCCACCACACTATCCCCCATCCACTAACAGCCAGGTGTTTAACGCAATATTGTCTGAATTTCTTAGCAGTGGATGTGACCTAGCTAAGATTTAACATCTATTCACAAAATGGGACAGAGATTAGTTCAATGAATCATTCATTCTCAGAGGAATTTGTTATTACAACAGACCTAACTTTGTATTACATAATTAAGAATTTGACTAAAATAATAGTTGTTAAGATGTTTTTAATGTACTGTACTAATAATTACCCCTAAATGTCTTAGATGGAAACAAAACAATATAACATTGAGTTTATAGTAACGCCACTTACACTGAATTAAGCTCTTCAATGCAGTCAACAACTTCTTGGTGAGTCACTGTAGCCAGGCTTTTAATGATGTTAAAGTGAGCTGCCAGCTTTACATGTAGCTGGTCAATATCCCTGTCTGTTTTGTTTGGGGAGTAGGAGGATGACTGGCCCATGTCTTGCGACTCACAAACTACACTAATCTCATGCTATATTTAGAAGTCTGAAATACAGAGTATTTATAAAATAAAAATATTTTAGAGTAAAAAACTGTATTAGCTATTCTAGCATTTGCTAAAATTTACAAAAATTAAGATAAATTTTATGAGAAATTTTTTTTTTTTTTACTACGACTTGCTTTGCCATTAAAAATGGAAAAAAAAATAGTTTTGTGCTTATCTGTCAGGTGGGTGTTGGTTAATTTAAATACAAGAAGTGAAACTCATCATGGCTAAAAAAAAAATGCTGAAAACCACAGATCACTGCAGTGAGATCATGTGATTGTTTATCAACAATGCCAACAAGTTTATTTTTTCTTGTAAGTTACCACCACCACCAGTGCAATCTTATTTCTTCTGACAGGAGGTGATTATAACCATACTGTGGAAACAAGCTTGCACCACTTTAGCTGTAGTTCTTGTATTTTACTACTGCTTCGCTGTTGAGTTTCATTTCTCACATTTAGCCAAAACCCTTTCATGTTGGCAATGATTCTTTTTTTAAATAATGAATTGGCATACTCATGAATCATTTATTTTTATAAGTTTCTTATGTTTATCCATTGTCACTAATAGTCTACCATTGATCAGGTTTATCTAAACCTAACTTGATAGTCAGTAGCAGAATATACTTTAGGTAGCTCTAGTTCTCCCCTACACTAATTGTATTTTTTTATTTTTGAAAAATCAGAAAAATCACGTTGATTCCTTGGCTTTGGCTTCTAGTTCTAGATCTTTAAAAAAATAAAATGGTTGATTTCTCATACCAGTGTCCAATAATGGCACAATAATGAATAATAGAATCTTCTTAAAAGGGGTATTAATTAATGATGGTAGTTAACTTAACTATAACTAAAAACACATATGACTTCCTGATTGCTCATGTCAATGCTAACCTGATCCCTAACCTTAACCATAGTCCTAACATTTATTTGCCTAACCCTAATTTTCTGACCATAAAAAAATTATGATAGAAATTAGAACTAAAGACAAGATTACTACTAACAACCTAATAGTAATAGGCTAATAGCGTGTTAACATTTGCGACATGCAGGCCCTATACTTTACACAATGTAGGCCCTATACTACATACATCTAGAAAAAAAAACCTCAAACAAGTTCAGAGAGAAAAATTATTTAATACAAAATTAACTTGCTGAGAGATTTTTCCTAGACATGTATATTGTATAGTATACATGCAAGTGTAAATACTGTGTAAATTTGTAATACACCTATGTCTATACACTCTATAGGCCAAGAGTATAGACTATTATTTAACGTAATTGTATTACCACTAGCTAGACTTAGAGGTAATCTCACAATAAAGTGTTGGTTATTATCCCGGAATGGTACAACAGTAAAAAATAATAAAACCATGGCGTAGTCTGTCACGCCATTCCGGAAACCACTGGAAATACCGTCAACCATATTTTATTTGGCGCCATATTATTTTTAATACATATTGTTTAAAAATGTGCTTAGATTGATTTTAGTTGCATTTTAAATACTGTTTTGCTAATTATTTTGTATTTCTAATTATTTCAAGTGAATGTACTAATTATTTCTGCTACTAAACATTGTTCTAGTTCTTCTTTCTTACTACTTTAAACTTAATAAATCTAATTGTCTAATTTTACTAGATCTAGATCTAGTTGTCACAAATCTTCCGCAAGTTTTTTTTTCTGTTTCTTAAAAAAACATTAATTAATAGACTCGACTTTACTATTAATATTTAGATCTAGGCCTACTAATTGTTGCTAATTTTCTGTCAATTGAATTTTAAATTAAGATCAAACAATTTAATGCACTTGACTTTATTTTTATTTCAAAGGTCAAATAAACTATTTTTACAGTAACGAATGTAAATGAAACTCAACAAACATTACCGGATAATTTCCGACACTATATTGTGAGATTACCAACATAGACATCAGTATCCTCAATCATCCAATAAAAAGTAAAACGTAGGCCTATGTATGATTGTATCATATGGCCTATGTTATTTGTATAATTTTAGTTAGGCCTAAAAACTACAGTTAAATCAAGGGTTAGGCCTAACTTTAAAAACTTAAGGGTCTCACTTTTATTCTTAACACTGACAACCATTCAAACAAAATCAAAATTGACACTCAGTGCTGAGTGACTCACAGTCACTGTGTCACTTGCTACCTAAACCTAAATCTAATCAACTAATTACTAATGACTAGACTACTGCTATAGCTGGGGAAAGCCTATCATTAACTATAATACCCTAGAGAGAGCCAGAGGGCTAGTAATAGTATGGGAATCATATTCTCAGTGTGAGTGTATTCTGCTCAGACTCAAATCTGGTCACTGTTTCTGAGAGACTGAGTTGATAGTGTGATTCTCATGATTCTGATCTAACTGAATTATTTTAAAATAATTAGGCCTTTAGGCTTAATGGATATTAAAAACTATTTAGATTTAGAACATTACATTTTTATTTTTAATTTAATTCTTTTTTTTTCTGTTCAATGTCTGTTACGATGTTTCCATTATTTTGATTGTTCAAAAATCATAAACACATTCGTGTGCATTTGTTGTAATGTTGTTCTTTATTTCAATTTTGCCAGATTAAAAGCTCTCAAACTTGTAAAACTTTATATTAATAATTCATAAAATTCAAACTGTTCTTAAAAATAAATAAATGAATAAATAAATAACCGACTTTCTTAAAAGGTAACTGGTTTAGCTATTATTTAAAAAATGTGATTTTCAATAACTAGGCCTAACTTTTTTTTTAATTATGAAGACGTTTGTAACTTTAAGTAATGTGTTAGGCTTAGATTCAAAATGCTATAAACTTAAACTGTAAACATAATTGCACACTTTGACTTTTTTTAGAACAAGGCCTACTAACAAGTGAAATGAGCATTAATTTGTTTTGATTGTATTGTAATAATGAACTTTTTGCCTTTTTCTACATCTATTTATTTTTATATGGTCTATCAATAGTACCCTCAAATAAATAGTATTTTTAATACAAATAACACATTGCTGCCAATGAGATCACTCTGTCAGTGGCTTTCGGAGATAAGGACTGGAAATATAAAACATGAAAGGGGGAAAAAATAAGGAACGTGGATGGGGGAGGGGGGATGTTATTCACACTTTCTGACCAAACTGTTGTAATCAAATTAAAACATTATAATGAGTTTAAAATATATTTCTCAAAATGTCAATATAAATAACAGTTGACCTATCGTTCGGAAAAAAAATAACTTCTATTAACGTTTATTTCCAACTCCATCCTTTGTTTATGGCCACGCCCTGTTACTATTGTAAAACTTTTCATATTTGATTCACATTATGATTATATAGCAGAATTATTTTAGACTTTGTCATAGTTGTTTACTGATATTTGTCTCTCAGTTCTTTTGTACGTGAGACTTAATATATTTTGTCCTGAGACATTTTGTCTGGGATATTTTGCTTGGTAGATCTATACTAGATCTATATTTGACTGAGGTTATCTGTCCTGTCACCGTCTATTCGTTTATTGTATTGTGATAAGGCGTTAGAATTTTGCATTTTCGTGGCACTAAATTTCTCACAAATCACACCACACACAGTGAGAATAACATGTCAAACTTTGTAACGCTATATTCTATATAGTATGCCCTATATTGTGGAATTTGTTTTATGACATTGTGTGGGATGTGGTTAGTGACGTGTGAGGATAGAGGATGAGGGTAAAAGACTACGTAGGCTAAGTTTAATTAATGGCCACATAGTTGGATATGTTTGGATTAAATAAATCGAAGTGTCTACTCGGAATAAGATTTTTCGGCAAAAGATAGTTCTGCGCATGCGCAGCGACCTATGGCTAGGGTTAGGGCTAGAATGAGGGTTAGGGGTAGGATTAGGGATAGGGATAGGGTTAGGGATAGGATTAGGGTTAGGGATAGGATTAGGGTTAGGGATAGGATTAAGGATAGGGTTAAGGATAGGATTAGGGTTGGTATTAGGGTTCTGCGGTTGTAAACACACGCATGCGCAGTACCATCGAAAACATCGCCGCTAAGGCAAGTCGTGGTTTCTCTCCATTGCGCATGCGTATCGCATGCGTATCTTATTCCGACTAGAATTGGCCTAAATAAATTCGATAATCTGCGGTTAAGTCGCCGCATCCGGTCTATTCCCAACTCGAATTACGGAGGCCTAATATCGATTTTCCAATTGCTACAAACATCTGGAAAACTGGAATTCTATGACTTCATTATCTTATTCTTAAAGCCCCACCCCCCCCCCCCTCTTCTCTAGCTCCCCTTTGAAGTGTGACATCGGTTACGGATGACCCCTCAAAATATGTTAGGTAAACTCACCGGGTGACACCCGGCCTAGCGACGCCACTGATATTAATATACCTTTTATTTATTTGTTTTTTTTTTTCGGTTTTATTAACAGAAATAGATTAGTAATAGTTAGATCTAGAGAATAATCTAGTTACAGGGCTTTAGAACGGGGACATAAACGATTTTTTTTTTTACAAAGGGGACCTGCTTTTTAGTTTTAGGAGAGACTCTTCTTTAATAAGTTTAAAATGTGTGTTACATAGCAACAAAAATGGCAGACGACTTGGGAAACCAAAATGCTGAAGACTCTACTAAAAGTAAAGTCCCAAAAAGAAGAGGATTACCACCAATGTCACCAAAATCTGCAGCAGGTGATAATGGTACTGAAATACGACAGGTTAAGCGTAAGGTTAAGAAAAAACAAACTGAAAACGAGATGAATCAACAACCCAACAACAAGCTTGAGCCTGACGAAGCTGAAACTGAAGAAGCAGCAAAGATACAGAAGGAACAGGTATTTCTAAAGTCTAAAATTAATTTAAAGTCTAAAAAAAGTCTGTAGTTTAGGAAAGTAAATAATGTCACACTTTTAAAAGTCTGGGAAATCACTAGTTTTTGGGCTGGATTTTTTAAAATTGAAAAAAAAAACCGTGGAAAAATTATTATTTATTAAGTTTGGTAATCTATCGTTTTGGGTACGTAAAATCGTCCGCGACTTGTAATGTGAAAAACAGGTGACTCCTTACATTTTAATAATTATTTAACATTTTGAGGAGGATTTATGTTTTGAAAAATACAAAAATGTTTCCTTGTTTCATTTATGTACCTGTTTTTAAACAATTGAATTAAAACTTTTCAGTAATAAATGAACACCAGCGATGTTTCCAACAGATGCAACCATGCTCATTTACTATAGCAGCCATCTTGTTAAAGTTTTATTTTTATAGACTTATAGCGCAAGATTTAGGCGGAAGTCACTCTATTTTACAAATGGCCGCTGTTTATATAGCAAATCTTGCTTGCAGGCACTGCTGTTTAAAGTTAATTTCTGGCCTATATTCACACATATTGATATATTTAGCCATTGATTTAGGTTTATTATTCATTTATCTATAATATTTGACACAAACATATCACAATATACTTCTATTACAGCCTTGACATTGAGGTAACGTTTTCGTACATTAATAGCCGCGGGCAATTTTACGTACCCAAAACGATAGATTACCTTAAGTTTTAGGCCTAGAACTTTGTAATTTTGAAACTCTGTCATGAGTCTGTCATGATGTTAATTGTTTTGTTAGTATTTTTCAACTAAACTACTAATGTTATATAGATCTATCAAAGGCTCTTCTTTAATGAATAAACTCAATTTTTTTTTCTATATGACATTTGTCATTGGTTCTAAAACGGCACACATTTTTCTGTTATAGAAAAAAAATTAAATGAGTTGCGTTTTTAATCATCCCTGTTAAGACCCTAAAAAAACACTGATAACCTGATCTTGAATTTTATTGGTTACATAATAGACTAAATAATTTGGTATGAGTGAAAATTGAAGTAGAATATATCATTCCAATTATCTACTTTTTGTGGGGAACACATTTTAAGCACTTTTGTGCTTGTAATAGTCTTATCATTTTAATAATGTCTCGATTATCTAAGAAGCACAAAGTAATTGTATAAAAAGAAGCCACCCAATTTTACAAAATTATCTTTAATTTTTGTATCTTTAGAGTTAGTTTATTTAAAAAATAATCTCACTACTGAGTACTATTTTGTCAATGAATGTTTTGATTTAAAAGAAGCCAACACCAAGACGAAGACGAAAGCGGTCACCCAGTCAAGATAAAACCACAGATGAAGTTGCACCTGTAGCTGCTGTATCAACTCCTAGAAAAAAGAAGAAAAAGCCACGCACAGAAAACACAGAGGACAATAAATCACAGAACTCTCTGACTGCTGATGCTGCCCAGTTTAAGGTCTTAAATTTCACTTTTATAGATATCAATGCTTAGCCAAATTTTGCCTATTCATTTAAATTTATGTTTTTCAGCAAGGTTTTTATTATCTTTTAAAGCTGACTTGTAGAAACGTTCATAATATATTTAACTGTTCTTATATATGACCCATAAAAAGTGTCCAAAAGTATTTATTTGTTTTAAGTTGTTCAAACATTTTTTGAATTAAAAACATATCTTTGTATATTTTTGTCTTTTAATCTTTACTATTAATTTATATTTTAATCATCTTAGAAGGCCCTAATTGTTTTATTTATTCAACAAGTAAAACATGATTTGTATTTCTTCTCCATAGGAAGCACAAGGCAGTAAAACAAGTCTAATTTCTAAGGATGAAGGAACACCGCGCAAGAAAGCACAAAGGAAAAAGAAGAAGGCGAAAAAAGCCACTGTTGATGGTGATGACTTTGGGGATACACCATGGGCAGAAGATCTGCGCACCATGAGGGAGGATATTATTGTAACAAATGGCTTGAAAAAAGATGAAACTGGAGAGCTGGGCACGATTGGGGAAGAAAAGAAAAAGCAGCCTCTACAGTCCTTATTAACCACTCCGATTTTACGTAGCCAGCCACTGGATAAAATATTTATTGAAACAAGCAGTAAGTTATAGCTGACTCATACAAGATCTTTCTGTGACATGCAGTAATTTATAACTGATTCATACAAGATCTTTATGTAACTTGCAATGAGTTATAATTGATCCATTTAAGATCTTTTTTTAGAAAAAAAAAGGAAGTGTGATTTGTTTTTTTATTTTGCAGGAAAATAAAATCATCTTCTGGATATAGAAATCCTTAGATTGTCTAAATAATATAAAAAGCATAAAACCTCTTTATCTGAAAAACCTGACCAAGTATTAGCTTAACAAACTAACATTTCAACTGGAGGTCTTCTCTAATGGAATGAATAAACGTAAACAGTTTATTAAACCAAAGAAAAGTCAACAATATTGAAAATCTAATTTCTTTCATTTACCTGTTAGCTTGATTCATTGATGTCACACTAACCTCCACTTGTCATTTTATCAATAGTTGAGTTATTTTACTAGCTTTTAAATCCTAGACTACATTAAATTATTTTAATTATTTGGTTTCTATATCAAATAATTTATTTTTAGCTAGTAGGTTAAAAGTAGTTTTTCAAATGTATTCTTTGTCTTTTTAAACTCACAGTAAAGCATAGTCTATTTCCAATATCCTTTCATGCATCCAGGTCTTGTTACTTTTTCCCTTTCTTTCCAACTCTTGAAAATTTACGTGCCTTTTTAAATTTTTTCTATGCCAAATGTTTTTGGATTTTAAAAGTGTTTGCTTCCTTTAATAGTTGAAAGAATTCTTTTGAGCTGAGAAATTTTAAATTTAAAGTAAACTTCAGTCTGGGCATAAAGAAAAACAAAAAATAAAAATTTTGGAACCATTCATTCCAGGCAGGTTTAAAGGAACAAGTAAAACTGTTCTCAGCAGACAGCGCATTGAGGAAACAACTAAACCAGTGGAGCCTGTCATCTTCACAAGAAAAACCACCATCGACTTTGCCCTGGGCTCCCACAAAATCTTCCGTGTGCTGACACTGTTCCTGCATGGCCTGACCGCTGGTTTAGCCCTCTGGCAGATGGTCATGATATTCACTCTGTCTTCCTTCACCAGTGATGATTTTTTACTGCACTACTACCGCATATCTCTACCCCTGCAGTGCTCCTACTATTTTTTGTTGATACTGTGTACAGTATCTATGTGTGACAGGTAACCAGGTTGTGTTTTTCTTTCATTGGGCTTATTCAAACCCATGTAGCTTGGAGTTTTTATGTTCTCTAATGGTTATTGTTTCATATGCAAATTGATCTGTCATTGTCTTAACGTTTTTAGATGAATGTTGGTACATTTTAGATATTAGGGATTTAAATTATGAATAAGCAAAAATTTTCAGTTGGATGTTTTGTTTTTAACATACAAACAAATATATAGCCTATAAGTTAAAATAATTATTTTTGTTTTTAAACCTTTTGAGTTCATGTCACTTTCTACCAAGGTTTGGTTGAACTGAACATTATTTCACAAGAAAAAAACCCACTGTGTTTTATATTAAATTCAGATTTGACATAGGGAACCCGACACGGAGGTTTGTTCTCCGAGCGCTGACACTCCAGAATGGGGCGGTGGCAATAATATTCAGCCTGGTGGCTCTGATCCTCACCATCATCTCCATACGCTATGATGACAAGATGTACTTGTACAAGGAGTTCCCTGACTTGTTCAAAGACAACAGTGTGAGTACATCATATGCCAACATGTTGCACTGCGAATGGAATCAGATAGTTAACATTGTTATCAAATTGTCATGAGATTGTTACCATAACATTGTTATCAAATTGTCATTAGATTGTTACCATAACATAGTTATCAAATTGTCATGAGATTGTTACCAGATTGTCTTCCAAAACTTTTGCACATTTTTGCATTAGTTACTTTTTTGGGACTGTATACATGCCAGCATTTAGATTCATCATCATCTTTTATCGTTATGCCCAAGACACATGAGGCAGATAGAGTTAATCTGTTTTAGAGACCACAGCACATGAAGGGATAGTGTAGTCAGCACTTAGCCCAGCCGCCTTAGTTTTCCCTAACAGAGTCATGTACCTATCAGAGCTAGGTAGACTCAGGGACATTTTACTGACTTGAACCTGGATTCAAACTCGAAACTTTCAACATAGCAGTCTAGCTCTCTAAGCTAGGCCATGCCATCGCATAACATTTAGATTATTTGATGGAAAATCTAAGACATTTACATTGTACCATAGTATAAAATCACTTATAGCATTCTGATGGAAGTTTAAATTTTTAATGGAACAGTTGGTCAACTGGGTTTATGTAGTGTAGATTTCTTATCAGTCAATTAGGTTTACATAGGGTAAATCTTTAGGAATATATTCTTTGCTGGCTGGTAAAATAAAATTCAACATTTTTCACATATTTTAGTTGGTAAAATAAAACACAAATTTATTTGATTACATAAAATTCTATATTTTTCCTATAATGTAGTTGGATAAATAAACTGTGATATATTAAACATATTTTAGTTTGTACAACAAAATGCAGTATAATTCACATATTTTAGTTGCTAAAACTAAAATTCCATATTTTTCATGTTTTTCCTTTAGACCAAAACTTCCGACATCTCAAGCTTCCAGTCCATCAACACAGCCCGCAGTGTGTTTATCATGCTCTCCTGGTTGGTTCTCGCCATCACACCCAACTCTGACAGGCTCGGCAAAAATCTAAAGTCAGGGGAGACTGGGCTGGAGAGGGACTTAGAGATGGACAAAGTGTCTTCAGCTTAATCAAGACAGCTGTTGGTAGACAATGTGTCTTCAGCTTAATCAAGACAGCTTTTGGTAGACAATGTGTCTTCAGCTTAATCAAGACATCTTTTGGTAGACAATGTGTCTTCAGCTTAATCAAGACATCTTTTGGTAGACAAAGTGTCTTCAGCTTAACCAAGACATCTTTTGGAAGACAATGTGTCTTCATCAAGACAGTTACAGATAAGTTTATACATATATGGTTTCACCTTAAGCCAGACATATAAACTAAGTATTTTACCTCAATCAAGAAAGCTATATATAGACATGTCTTCATCAAGACAGTTGTAGATAAGTTTATCCAGAAGTGTCTTCAGTGCAATCAAGACATGTACGGTTGGAGTAACAGATAAGTTGACATGGACAAAGAATTCTCAGCTTTTCCACACCAGTTAGGTGGAAATAAAAATGTCTGTGGAACTTTGCCAAATACTCACTGCATCAAGTGAACAACTCATTTTACACTGTCTGTAAGCAAATGTAGCATAATCTAAAAGGTGTTTCTTAGTTTACATTATTGAAGGCAGTCCCTCAAACCTTTTTGAGGTTTACATGAGGAAGAAACTAAATACTAACAAGAATAAGATGCGCTTTCAAAATTAAATAAAACATTATAATTATATTAATTCAAATGAATGTGTCATTATTTAAGTATAAGTAGTAAAGGTACATTTTAAAAAGACAGTTTGGTGTTCGATTCTAGACAAATGAGCTGTTATGCTGTGCTCTTTGAAACTTACCAGAGAGGGTAAAATTCTGGATGTTTTATCATAAATGTGTTTGTTTTGGTAAAAAAAAAATACCCAAATAAACTTGCTGTAACAGTTCAAGGTTCATGAAGTAAAATAATATCCAAATTTTCCAATAGCAACATTCCATATTGGACTAGAAATTAGCCAGCCTTTCAATTTACTCTAAAGTTAATTATTTCCCTTGTGTGAACATTAATTTAAACAGTAGATTCATGGAAGCAAAGTTGTCATTGTACATCCATCACTAAATTAATTCATTTCTTGTACGAGTATATCCACTGTATCTAATCTCCACTCATTTCTCAATAGACTCAATTTACTAGTGATATTGATGTTAGTGAAAGTGTGATAATAGATGTGTATTAAATAAAAAATTTAAATGTTTACAGTGATTTAGAATTTGTTTCATTAGCAATATTTAGGGCTTGTATTTGGCATGTCCGTGTGGGTCATGTGACTCATTACACCAGGGTTTTAGGTTGAATTCCTTATCAGGTCTGAATTTCAAAAGACATGCACAGAACATCATAATGCTCATCCAGTTGGTACCCAGCATTAGTTGGATTATGACATATCTTATTGTCTGCCCTGAAATTGGATCAAACAGCCATGTAATCATACAGCCATGTATTTATACAGCTGTGTAATCAAACAGCCATGCAATCATATAGCTGTGTTCCCTCAGACATGCTAGCCAATGTGTTACAAATCATGTCTTTTTTCTATTAACTTTAGGATTTTTATGTACCTCGTGTCAGCTTACAAATAATTTGTCTTGTTGGTTTTGAATTGAGGTGTTGCCAACACTTTTCTATTGATCATTATTGCTTGTCCGATGTCCTGACCAGTTGATGACTATTGATGATGTGCCTTAAAGCTGTTGATATCTAAATTTTGTTTACACATTTTACAATAAAATATTTCAATGTTGTGCACAGCAACTTTTTAGATCAAATAATGCTATTTTTTTCAAATGCCATAAGTATAGTTAAACTTATATAAATTTATTAATACTTATGTAGGTTTTATATTATTCCGTCCATTACCGTGCTAAGCCAACTTAAACTTAAATATTTTAAACTAAACTCTCAGATGTACATAATATTTTAATATTAACAATCTTTAGTCTATTATCTTTTCGGTAATATGTTGATTTTCCGGCTACTTATATTTTATTGAATAATTTAACTTGCTTCAATTGATTTATGGAATTGATCAAAGAGATTTTGGTTGGTGCAGGCCCACTCAGGTGGAGATTGCAACTGTTGTTTTTTTTTCAACATAAAATCCTGATAATTTGATTTTTTATATGATGATCTGATTTTTTATAGTAATGTTTTTTGACATTAAAACTCATGGTACGGCCTTCTTCTGTTAGTTAACATTCAATTTCATAATTTCATTTTTTAAATTTTGAAGCTGTTTTTTTTTAATTTACTTACAATCTTGTCATACTATTTAAGTTAAAATATGTCTTATTGTTTTAATGTATCAATAATACTTATGTATTTTATATAATAAATTTTTATGCAAATAATTTATTTTAATGTTCAATTAGATTATTAATTTCTGATTGTAACATGTTTGTATTAAACATTGCTTATATCTATTGCGAGGGATTGTTATTTTTCAAGTTTTATAATGTAAGCTTTCAAAAGTCATTTCTTCTTACTATTTTGTGATTGAGTGGATAAATTGACTTTTTTTTCAGTTATTTAAATTGACAATATGGCATTATTTATGGTACAAGCAAACACATTTTCTCCACCAAGGGAGATAAACAGTCAGAATGTTTGAACAGATCAATACTAGTTTCCCTTGTTTTACTGTAAATGTTGGCCTACAAATCAGACTTCACAGAGAAGAGTGATAGTAAATGACAGACTGGATAAGTGATGATGTGTATGGTGTGACTGGATCATGTACACAGTAGGCCTGTGCTAGATGGGCTTAGAAGTCTCTACCTGGCATGCTACTGATCCTGGTTTATGGCTAAGAGAATTGGCACTCTATACTCTATATGTTTTGGTTATAACTTATGTTACAAAAATTAATCTGATCTGAAAAAGAAAATGTGTCTATTGATAATGAATCAATTCAAGTTGAATGTAGTTTAATATGAAAGCTCTTAGTGGATGTATATCAATCTCAGAAAAAAAAAGCTAATATCTTAGACATTTATGAGAAGTGGAATATTACTTTAAAAGTTACTTTATCAGTTCTTAGACAACAGCATCTAATTTTTTTTTTTGCTTATTGATATTGTAATAGTTTTTCTATATTTTGTTATGCTGGACGTGTGTATAGCTCATGTTACAAAGGTAAAATCTTCTGTAGGGTCTATGAACATCCAGTGGTATTGTATCACCAAGCCGAGGAACAACAGTTCTGCTGTCAGTCATATATATATATATATATATATATATATATATATATATATATATATATATATATATATATATATATATATATATATTAGTTTATATATATATATATTTATACATACATATAAAGAGAGAGAGTTGCAGCACAAAGTTAATGCAAAAATTAAAACTTTTTTTGGTATCAGATAGCCTAATGCAATCCAGAAGTTTAATGATAAAGGCGGTGTCTTTAAGTGTACAAAGCACTTGTTGTTTTTGTGTATCATTATAGCTCCTTTTTCAAATGTAAGTTGGTGTCAAATAAGATTCAACCTGTTCCACCAAATTAATGATGTTTAATAGAATTTAAATTTCCCTTCAAGATTATTTAGTTTTATTTTTTTTTAATCTTTTTTATATTTGTTTTATCCAAAATATACACTTGCAGTTGTTTATAATAATGAATTTTTTAATATTTTATATGCTTGCACCATGAAAATGTGCTAGAAATCAATCACAATAATAGCCAAACAATTAATTTTATTGCGCAAACTTTATTTCTAGTGTGTATAAGAACAGATATACCCAACCCACATCAAAATATTTTTAAAATTAAAACAGGCAGTAGGCATCAGTTATTAAACCTCAATTTTCTTATGTGAATTCTATAAATATTCCTATGACTTTTTACTTAATGCTTGCCTAAAACTTTTTATAACAGGCTAGCCAGAAAAAAAAATCTGGGATCTTTTTTCTTGCCACTTTTAGAATGAATTGCCACAACACATTACACATGTAGAATGTTTTTCAGAAATATTTTATTAAATTAAAGCTTTGTTTTATAAATACTTAAAACTTTTTTTTCTGGAAACAAGTATCACAGACCTAAAAACAATGATTGTTTATACAGTTTTTACAAAACAAAAAAAAACCAATTTGTTTTACATATCACACTCCCAAAACAATTTTTTAAAGTAGGTCTTTTAATGGACATAAATATTTGTAACACAAATCCTAATTCTAAACATTGACAAACAATTATTATCAATAGGCCTAATTGAATTTAAATTTTTTTGTTGTTAAATACGATTGAATTTTTAAAATCTAAAATGTATCTAGTAAATATTTGAATTTAAGATTAGTTTGAAAAAGTAAATTTAACGAGGTGTTTCTCAGCATTGATTGTTGTCTAGTGATGTCAGAAGCCAATGCAGACTGCGCTGCAGAAGTCATAACTGTTGTATCCAGCAGATTCGCATGATTGTGTGCATGCACCTAAAGTTCCACCAGTTGTCTGACAGCTATACGATAAGCAGTAATTAAAGGCTTTCAAAATTTTTCCATCAGTATCTGTATGAATACATTAAATGAAAAAACATTGCCAAAAAGTAAAAATAATAAAAATGATATAATTTAAGGACCAAACATGACAATAGCTTGTTTAACAATCACACTAGACCACAACAATCATTTACTGCAGACCACAAAGTTAGATATAGTTATTTAGAGATAGCACAACCATGTAATTTTCAGTACCTTCAGTTTCAAAATTGGGAATGTCATAAATAAAAACTTACATTCCCAATACATTTCCCATCCCCACCCCCTTATCAAAATCCTGATTGTGGCACTGCAACAAAAGTAGGAACAACAAATCACCCTTTCACATGGCACCCCCAACCACTGCAACACACACAAGAACAACAAATCACCCTTTCTCATGCCACCACCTATAACTGCAACAGACACAAGAACAACAAATCACCCTTTCACATGCTCACCCCCTACCGCCAAAGTTTTCCAGTATGGCTGTGTCTTCAAATATGGAGGAACAGTGTTTGAGGGCTGCGATCTTCTTGTCCTGTGTGTTACAGTGCTCCATGTAGTCCCTGCGTGTCTTCTCACATACATCTCCCAATGGTGTGCTGTTACACAGTATACACTTGTGTCATTTATTTATACAAAATATTTGATACAATGGACTGAGTCTAATTAGGCTATGGTTGTATCTTAGGTTTTGGGATACAGTAATTTTTTTAACGTGAGTATGAATATGGCATTTTTTGTGCTGTAAGTAAGACTTAGAAGAATTTTCAATTTCAAGTTATTCAACAAACGGTAACAACCATAGGCACGAGGCCTTTTTCCACATAGGCAGTTTATTTTTAACATAATAACAATAATTTACTAAAAAAGAAATAAAGCAGTATCATTATACCATTCGAAAGTTTGGAATAAAGATATAATTTTATCTGACAGCATGGTCGGATGGTAGAGCTCACAACTGCTAACCTTAAAGCCTAAAGTTCGGATCCCAGGCTTGAGTCTGTATAATGTTCCTGAGTCCACCCAGCTTCTCTGGGTACCTGACTCACATTAGGGAAACTAGGGTGGCTGGGCAAGGTGCTGACAACATTAGCCCCTGTATGCCAAGGTCAATGAATCAGATGAACTCTACTTCATCTACCCCATTTCCCTTGGGCATGAACGTGAAAAGTGTTGATGGTGATGGTGGAATAGTAACATATAACGAGGAGAAAAAAAATACATTCAGTAACCTTGAGGTTTAGAATAACAACGTTAATAATTTAGTTTCAAAACATTTCAATAGGAGTGTGATATTTAATGTCTGTTAATGCTTTTCTTTTTTCACAATTAAAATTGAAAAGTAAGTTTTATCACTATGGTCTTTATGATAATTAATGTTCATCCAATCAATATTGATTATACTATAGGTTTTTTTTTAAGTATCAGCAAACCTTATGGCAAGCATGAAGGAAGAAAACATTCTTTAATCTACAAAAGAATAACAGTATAATAAAAAGGTCTTTTAGACCTGATGATCAATAAGACAGGTGAAGTAGAGTTACCCTGTTTCCATAACCTCAGATTATAAAGGATAGTATGGTGTGCCCAGCTACCTTATGTTTTCCTAATGTGAGTCAGGTATGCAATAGATCTCACTGGACTCATGTTTTTTTTATTTTGAACATTTTGTAATTTATTTGTCAACTGGCTTAAAAGTAAGGAATTTAAGTTCACAATAATTCTTGTCAGTGGCGTAGAGAGGTCGGGTGTCACCCGGTGCGGCACTTAATGGTGTGACTCCCCAGAGGCGTAGCGACCCTTCCCGGGGCCAAATTTTCGATTTGCACCCCCCTCAAACTTTCGATTTGCACCCCCCCCCCCTCTCAAGTTTTTCTCTATATTTTGCTATTTTTTGCCTTGGTGTCACCTCCCTAGATGGTGTCACACGGTGCGGTCCGCACCCCCCGCCTCCCCTCGCTACGCCCCTGATTCTTGTTACTTTTCCTATTGCACCTCTCCCATAACCTGATCTTTTTAGTAGCTCAAACTATGATCCCATAGCATGACTTATCTTGCCATAAAATAAATAAAAGGGTTCAAATTTTCTCACTGACAGACTTATTGACAGTCAGCTGATTCAATTAAAAGAGAACATTACAAACTTCACATAAATAAAAGTGTCAAGGTCTCACGGATGTTTACATGTTTGATTTTCATGAAATGTTGCATAGAAAACTATTCACTTACCTTGTCTGTTCTGCAGCATATTGTAAAGATTTATCCAGCAGAGCTTGTGTTGCGGTAAGGCTTGTCTGACTTAAATACTGTAAAAATGTGGCGCCATTTGTAGAGTCTGCCAAATATGTTTCCGGATCTATGAATTCCAAATTTTCTGCGGAAGGGGAAAGAGTTGTGAAAAATTGAAATAAAATTTGTATTAAAAATAAAGTGCACTTGATTAAAAGTATTTGTTTTAACCCAGGAGGTTTGGACTTGAGATTTTAAAATAAAGAAAATCTGGACAACACTAACACAGATTTTTATTATTTTACTGTTTCTGCTTCTGTTACTAATGTAGGGCCAGATCTAACAAGCTTGATTATTCCTTAAAAATCACTGAGCTCATTCAGCTCACCGGGGTGCTTGGAACAAATTTGGGGAGGGATGTTTTACAAGCCATACATTTACATGCCTTTGCTAAAATCTCACAATCAACACTGCATTAAATTTTAAATGGCAAAATAAAAAAGAAGTACTTTCCAACCTGCTACTCCATATACTGTTAAGATTATAGGTTTAACCTTGGAATATGAATAAATTAAATAGTATGCTCATTGACTTTACTTTCCACAAATGGAGTCTCATAACCATTAGAGATGGGTAGACTCAGGGACATGTATGGACTTAAACTCAGGAACTGAACTCTAAACTTTCAGGTTAGCAGACATTTACCCTGCCACTCCACCATACCACCCACTCTAGACAGGAATTGTTTCAGCCTTACCTGGGTCCCCGGAGTACTCCAGGTACATCCCAGACACCTGGTCCTGCTGCACGTGACTCTTGTCTGGAGCCCTGAACCCAACCCTCAGGGAACATGCTGACAAGGTCAGGGTGGCAAAGTTGTCCGTGTCTATCCCTGCGCTCACGCCCAACTCGTTATCAATGTCAAGGTCATCTGTTGGACCCCAGCTGTCTGTATCATCCTCATCAGCCCAGGCAACGCTGCGAGTTTTTCTGTTAGCCCCCGCACCACTACCACCGCCAGATCCACTGCTGTCTCCACTACCACTGCTACTGCCACTTCCTGTGCCAGATCCACTGCTGTCACCACTAGGGTCAGTCTCCCCGTCACCACTCCCACTGCCTCCATCAAGCTCTTCATCCAGTTCAAGTGTTTGAATCTGTTACAAATAAAAGAAGCTTGTCAGTTCAAGTGTTTGAATCTGTCACAAATAAAAGAAGCTTTGTCTGAAAGGTTTGGAAGGGGGGAAAAAAGTGTTGAAAAAAAAAACAATGCAATTTAAAAATTAAAAATAAAATACCATATTTGTAAATGTTTCACTATTTACTGAGATTGCCAATGTAACTATTTTGTTTTATAAATTAGCACTTGATGGTTCAGATTAGTAAAAATAAATCAACAATAAAATTAAATAATCTAATAGGAAGGAAGTGGGGGGGGGGTGTGGATGATTTTGGTGAGCTACATCAGGATAATGGAAGAAATGTTATGAAAAAATAAATTATCTACAGGATAATATGATAGTTCTGAGATTAATACAGACTTGTATGTGTACATTTCACCAGTGAATTCATACAAGACAATACTATAAATAAACAACAGCTGATTCTCACACCTTTAACCATAAAAGCAGCCCTATCCCTGAAATGTGTACTATCATTACAAAATATTATTTAAAAAAAAATACTTACATCAGCTTTTGGCACCTCATAAGAGAAAGCTGTTTTCCCTCTTTCTTTATACTTTTGATAAAAATGAAATATATTTGTTAGAGCATTATCTATTAGCTTATTTTCAACTATTTAAAATTAGCTCTTTTCTTTTTACTTTTTAATTAGTAAACATTCATAAACAAATGTTAAAAAATCTTTACTGTAAAGGTTCCATTTTCTGAGAGTCCTTCGATTAAAAGGCTAATCTCGTTCCAGTTATTCGACGTTGAAGTTGTGTACTTAATGTTGACTTGTATGCCAGAAAGAACAATATATTTATCTATGATGGTGTTTGTTCCAAGTACCTAAATAAACAATAGATGCTGTATTATGTATTAGTAAATTACGTTCTAATCTATTAATATTTTTACCTATTAGATGTAAGTCTTCTTACTAGATCAATGTACCATGAAAACCTATAAATATAATATATAATTGTGCTTATATTATAATAATTAGGGTATAGTATAGGTCAAATGTAATAATTAAAATATTAAAAAAAAAAAATATTAGGCCCAGGCCTATAAATTAATAATTAGGCCTAGGTCAAACATTGGGCCTAATATTTTTTACTGTTGTTTAGGCCTATCATATAGAAAGTAGAGTATTAAAAATTATAATCTTTGTAGAAAGGAATGTTAATTTAGCTTTGGGTCTGAACATCAGAGAATAATGTAATAATAATTATGTTTTAAAATGCGATTATGCACTTGAAATGAGCGAAATTGTTCTTTATATAAGTGCTATTTTTAGTTGAACTATCGGTTAATGTAAATTTTGTACAAAGAACATGAACGGAAAAATTCTTATACGTTTTTTAGATTGGCCTATATATGTTTTTATTGAGACATATATTGCCATATAGATTGTTTTACGAGCAGGTCGTATAGGTCAAAATAGTAATAGAAGCTAATGCTATGGATGTAGATCTAGTATGCAAGCAACATATAGTAATATAGACAATTTTATAGTGTACTAGTACTAGATATATATTTTTTAATTGATTTGTTTACAATAGTTTACATGTATCAGATGATATATTGATAGGCACAATGTGACAATCATTGGATCTCTACCAATGTTACGTACATTTTATTACATTAGTGATTAGTAGTATTAATTTATTAAATATTGTGAATTTAATTATTAAATGCAATAAAGAAAAATTAATCAAATTTAATTTATAATAGCATTAAGTTAGGTTTGGCTTTATGACACCTTAATTTAAATAATTTTCTTCAGAAATTTAGGCCCATATTTAAAAAAAAAAAACGTAAAATCATTATTAATATTTTATTTTAAAAATAATAAAT